ACTGTAGCTTTTGTTTGTGGATTGTCACCACTGTCTTCTCCATCTATTTTTGTCGTGGTTCCTTTTTTCTTCGGCTCCTCCTCAAAGTCACTGTCAAAAAAGGAGTGATCCACTTCACAGTCTGATACATCTTCATATCGATGGTCCATGATCAAAAGAAAGTTGATGGCGTATTTCTCCTGGAAGTAGGAAACTAAAATCAATACATCAATAGATGGGGCAAACACTTGTTGCCGTGATCCTCTCTCTACAACTTTATTACATCAACCTTATACATGTGCTCTAATTCCTGCACACCAGGACTACTTTTTTAATGTTCCTCTTAGGTTTAACCTTAAAGGCCACAGTGGTTTCACAATGCATCTTATATTAGGAGAAAAGCAATCTCTAACATAAACAAATGAATGGAAACCATTTTATTGGTATCTTTCTTTACTATTACCCAACTCCTACCATTTCTCTACCTCTGGTTGACATTTTAGTGGGGATACTATCATTCTCCCAAACACACAACTAATGGTATGTCTTTAAGGAAGAGACTTTCAAGGCATTCAATGAAACAAAAACTTATTTATGAAGCCTTATGTTTAAAATAACATACATTTAAGATGTCCTTGTTTGCACATTACAGATTGTACATGGGAAGCCTCCTGAAATACTGCCACAAACTGCAGATTCACATGTCAGCAGTAATTTTTGGAAGGGATGCCTTACACAGCATACCAGGGAGTAATAAATCATGGTTCTGCAGCTCTGTTGCTATGATACTGCAATAATACTGCAAGCAGGTCTGCTAGTACGTTTTTAAAAGATTAGACCACTAGTCTTAACACTGCATACATAATATGTGGAAGGACACAGCCCTATATCCCGGAATATCATGGCAGAATATCCCACAATATATGTTTTGAACTGGATTATCTGGGTCCACACTGTCATATATCCCAGTTCAAAGCAGATAATGTAGGATTTTCTGCCTTTATATTCTGAGATATAGGTCTGTGTGGAAGGGCCCCCACACAGCTGTATAAAATTCCATTTGAGCTGATTATATAGCAGTATGGACTCAAATAATCTAGTTCAAACCATATATTGTGGATTATATGCCTTGATATTCTGGGTTATATGTCTGTGTGGAAGGGCCCCAAGTTTTAACTAGATTATATGGCAGTGTGGACTCAGATAATCTAGTTCAAATATTGTAGATAATCTACCTTGATATTCTCAGTTATATGACTGTATGGAAGGGCTCTAAAATACCTCATTAAATTTATGGCCCCTTCTACACAGCTATATAGTCCAGATTATCAATCAAATCAGATAATCCATATTATCTACTTTGAACTGGTTTATATGAGGACCCTTCTACACTGCTAGAAAATCCAGGTTATCAAAGCAGAAAATCCACATTATCTGCTTTGAACTGGATTATCTGAGGGTCCTTTCACACAGCCCTATATTCCAGAATATCAAGGCAGGAAATCCTACATTATCTGAGTGTAGACTCAGGGCCCTTCCACACAGCCCTATATCCCAGAATATCAAGGCAGGAAATCCCACATTATCTGAGTGTGGACTCAGATACCCAGTTCAAAGCAGATATTATGGGACTTTTCTGCCTGGACATTCTGGGATATAGGGCTGTGTAGAAGGCCCGAGTCTACACTGCCATATATTCCAGTTGAAAGCAGATAATGTGGATTTTATATAGCAGTGTAGAAGGGGCCTGAGTCTACACTGCCATATAATCCAGTTCAAAGCAGATAATGTGGATTTTATATGGCAGTGTAGAAGGAGGCTGAGTCTACACTGCCATATAATCCAGTTCAAAGCCGATAATGTGGATTTTATATGGAAGTGTAGAAGGAGGCTGAGACTACACTGCCGTATATTCCAGTTCAAAGCAGATAATGTGGATTTTATATGGCACTGTAGAAGGGGCCTGAGTCTACACTGCCGTATATTCCAGTTCAAAGCAGATAATGTGGATTCTACATGGCAGTGTAGAAGGAGGCTGAGTCTACACTGCCATATAATCCAGTTCAAAGCAGATAATGTGGATTTTATATGGCGGTGTGGAAGGGGGCTGAGTCTACACTTCCATATAACCCAGTTCAAAGCAGATGTGGATTTTATATGGCAGTGTGGAAGGAGGCTGAGTCTACACTGCCATATAATCCAGTTCAAAGCAGATAATCTGGGTTTTGCATGGCAGTGTAGAAGGGGTCGATGTAACTATTACAAAATCCTTTTTAATAATCCTAAAATAGTTCTGATCCTAAGCATTTCAGATAAGGTCTCCTCAACCTGTGAAGTAAGCAGTGCCATTCAAGCACAGACCTCCACCCTCTCTTTTAAAATAGGACTCCATCCTCTTCCTTGTGGAGGAAACACACTCGTGCAGGAGAGAGAGAGCAAACCTCCCCTTCTGTTGTGGATACGAAGCCACACTTGAGGCACGCCGCTATTCTTATGGCCCCCTCCCTGGTTACCTTGTCCAAAGGCGGGAAAGCGGGGGCGCCTCTTCCAGCCAGGCCCCTCCAATGGAGGCCGAAGTGATGCTCCCCTCTCAGCCAAAATGGAGGGCTCGGTCCTCCTCCCCGAAACAGAGCCGCTTTCTCCCGCCTCGCGGTGTGTTTGCGTAACCAGGAAAGGGAGGGAAAAGCCGAGGTTTCCGTGCGCGAAGCTCCCTTTCTGTGCAGCAGGGGGAGGCCGCGAGGCCCCTTCCCCTCAGGCTTTGAGGCCTAGCCGTGAGTGGCACCTGCCAGCGCCAGGCCTTCCCTCGGGACACCGGCTTCGAGGCGCACCTCAGGCGGTTGGCTCTGGCCCACAATGTGGCTTGTGGCTCAAAGGCACAGCCTTCTCTTTCGAAGTGGGACAGTGGCAGGCAGGCGCTCCAGAAATAAACTTGTGTAATCCTCCAGATTAGCCTTCCCTTTTCAGCCTCACCGAGGGCCCTGCCACACAGCTGAATAACATCCCACATTGTCTGCTTTGAACTGGGTTATGTGGCAGTGTAGACTAAGGGCCCTTCCACACAGCCCTATAACCCATAATATAAGGCAGAAAATTCCACAGTGTCTGCTTTGAACTGGGTTATATGGCAGTGTAGACTAAGGGCCCTTCCACAAAGCCATATAACCCAGAATATAAGGCAGAAAAATCCCACAATGTCTGCTTTGAACTGGGTTATATGGCAGTGTAGACTAAGGGCCCTTCCACACAACCCTGTAACCCATAATATAAGGCAGAAAATCCCACAATGTCTGCTTTGAACAGGGTTATATGGCATTGTAGACTAAGGGTCTTTCCACACAACCCTGTAACCCAAAATATATGGCAGAAAGTCCAACAATGTCTGCTTTGAACTGGGTTATATGGCAGTGTAGACAAAGGGCCCTTCCACAAAGCCATATAACCCAGAATATAAGGCAGAAAATCCCACATTGTCTGCTTTGAACTGAATTATATGGCAGTGTAGACTAAGGGCCCTTCCACACAGCCCTAAAACTCATAAAGCAAGGCAGAAAATCCCACAATGTCTGCTTTGAACTGTGTTATATGGTAGTGTAGACTAAAGGCCTTTCCACACTGCCATATAACCCATAATATAAGGCGGAAAATCCCACAATGTCTGCTTTGAACAGGGTTATGTGAGTCCACACTGCCATACAATGCAGTTCAATGTGGATTTTATGTAGCTGTGTGGAAGGGGCTTTAGGCTGCTTCTATACTGTAGAATTAATGCAGTTTGACACCATTTTTACTGCCATTGCTGCTCAATGCTATGGAAATCTCTTTCTGGATCTACTCTGCGATGTGAAATCCAGGGCCCTTCCACATCCATAAAACCCAGAATATCAGGGCAGAAAATTCCACAATATCTGCTTTGAACTGGGTTATTAGATCATCCACTTCAAAGCAGATATTACCAGATGTTCTACCTTCATATTCTGGGATATAGGGCTGTTTGGAAGGTCCCTGAGTCCACACTGCCATATATTCCAGTTCAAAGCAGATAATGTGGGATTTTATACAGCTGTGTGGAAGGGCTTCAGGCCCCTTCCACACAGCCCTAGAATATCAAGGAAGAAAATCCCACAATATCTGCTTTGAACTGGGTTATCTGAGTCCACACTCAGATAATGTGGGATTTTCTGCCTTGATATTCTGGGATATAGGGCTGTGTGGAAGGGCCCTCAATCTTCACGGCCATATAATCCAGTTCAAAGCAGATAACACAGGGCCCCTTCCTTACAGCCCTATAGCCCAGAATATCAAGGCAGAAAATCCCACATCATCTGCTTTGAACTGGTTATCTCAGTCTATACACAGATAATGTGGGATTTTTTGCCTCGGTATCCTGGGATATAGGGCTGTGTGGAAGGGCCCCGAGTCTACACTGCCATATATTCCAGTTCAAAGCAGATAATGTGGGATTTTATACACCTGTGTGGAAGGGCCTCAGGTCCTTCCATACAGCCCTACATCCCAGAATATCAAGGCAGAAAATCCCACAATATCTGCTTTGAACTGAGTTATCTGAGTCCACATTCAGATAATATGGGATTGTCTGCCTTGATATTCTGGGATATAGGGTTGTGTGGAAAGCCCCTTAGAATATCAAGGGAGAAAATCCCACAACATCTGCTTTGAACTGGGTTATCTCAGTCCACACTGAGATAATATGGGATTTTGTTTTTTGCCTTGATATTCTGGGATTTAGGGCTGTTTGGAAGGACCATATAATTCAGTTCAAAGCAGATCATGTGGGATTTTATACAGCTGTGTGGAAGAGGCATTAGAAGTGGTGCCAAGCTGCATTCACTCTACAGTGGAGTGTTTATGTGAATGGAGAGGAGCCATCTCGCGCAGAGAGGGTGTGATTGACGCCTGGGCGGCTGACGTCACGGGCCCCGCCTCCCGCTCCTCACTGGTCATTGAGGAGCGCACATGGCTGGCTGTCATTCAGGCGTCGGCGCCTCCTCCCTCCTTGGCCCCTCCTCCTCCTCCTCCTCCCTGGCGGGCTTCCGGAGGTGAGGAGCGAGCGAGCGGGGATGCGGTGAGGCGCGCTGAGCGAGAGGGAGAGAGAGACCTCTCCGGCGTCGAGGGAGGCTGCCTGGCCGGGGATGAGGAGGAGGCGGCGGCGAGGGCGAGGAGGCGAGGGCCGCGGGAGATGCGCTGCTCCGCGGCGGCGGCTCCCGGAGCAGCATGTTGGCCGACCCTGCGAATGTTAACCCCGCCGGCGGGCAGCCGGAGCCGGGAGGGAGCCCCGCGGCTGGTTCCGGCTCCCTGGCAGCGCGAGGGCCCGGCGCCTTGGCCCCCACGGCCGCGGAGGGAGACGGCGAAGAGGAGGAGGAGGAGGAGGAGGAAGCGGAGGGAGGGGGCCCTCGCGGCAGCGGCGGCTGTTCCCGCCTCGCGCTGGCGCTTGGAGCGGCCTCGGCGCTCGCGCTGGCCCTGGCGCTGTTCCTGGCCCCGTCCCGCCTCCCCCTGCAGCTCGCAGGAGCCCAGGCCGAAGAAGAAGAAGCAGGAGGAGGAGAGGCCTGGCTGCCGCTCCGCCTCGCCCTCTACCTGCTCAGCGCCGGCGGATCCTTCCTCCTCGGCGCCCTCCTGGCTTTGGGCCTCCGCAGCCGGAGGCGACCCCGGCCCCTGCCCGATTTCCTCGCCGCTTGGAAGCGCCGCCACCTGGGAAGAGAACGGAGAGACTCTCCCTTCTTGCAAGCGGCGGAGGTAAAGAAATAGCAGGAGGACCTCCGTATCCGCGGCTGACTTGATTGTCACGGGGATCTCGGTATCCGCGGGAGGCTTGGCTCATAGTATTATCATCATAGAATAATAGAATATAATAATATTAATAATATATATGATATATTATATCATAGAATAATGGAATATCATAAGTATATATAAGACTGGGGCCCCCAATGGCGCAGTGGGTTAAAGCACTGAGCTGCTGAGCTTGTTGAGCAAAAGGTCGCAGGTTCGATTCCAGGGAGCGGCGTGAGCTTCCGCTGTCAGCCCTAGCTTCTGCCAACCTAGCAGTTTGAAAACATGCAAATGTGAGTAGATCAATAGGTACCGCTTCTGTGGGAAGGTAACAGTGCTCCATGCAGTCATGCTGGCCACATTACCTTGGAGGTGTCTATGGACAACGCTGGCTCTTCGGCTTAGAAATGGAGATGAGCACCACACCTCAGAGTCAGACATGACTGGACTTAATGTCAGCAAGTCCCTTCAAGGCATGGGAGTTCTGTGTGGAAAGTGTGGCCTAATTCTATTGTTGGTGAAGTTCAGAATGCTCTTTGACTTTAGCTGAACTATAAATCCCAGCAACTGCAACTCTCAAATGTCAAGGTCTATTTGACCCAACTCTACAAGTGTTCATATTTGAGCATATTGAGTATTCATGCCAAATTTGGTCCAGATCTATCATCGTTTGAGTCCACAGAGTTCTCTGGATGTAGGTGAACTACAACTCCCAAACTCAAGGTCAATTTGAGTATTCATGTAGAGTTTGATCCAGATCCATCATTGTTTGAGTCCACAGTGATCTCTGGATGTAGGTGAACTACAACTCCAAAACAAGGACACTGCCCACCAAACCCTTCCAGTATTTTCTGTTGGTCATGGGAGAACTGTGTGCCAAGTTTGGTTCAATTCCATCGTTGGTGGGGTTCAGAATGCTCTTTGATTGTAGGTGAACTATAAATCCCAGCAACTACAACTCCCAAATGACAAAATCAATTTTTTGAGTGAAGGACATACATTGTGTTGTTAGGTGTCTTGTGTCCAAATTTGGTGTCAATTCGTCCAGTGGTTTTTGAGTTCTGTTAATCCCACAAACGAACATTACATTTTTATTTATATCATATATATGTGTGTGTGTGTATATATATATATATCAGAATAATAGAATATAATAATAATAATATATCATGTATCATAGAATAATAGAATATAAATTTATATATCTAATATTATATCATAGAATATAAGAATATTAAACTATATAAATAAAAAAGAGCAAGGCCTCTCCAGATATAATATATGAATATATCATAGAATAATAGAATATATATATATATATATATATATATATATATAATCATAGAATAATAGAATATAATAATATTAATAATATATAATAATAACAGGGAGCTCTGGTGTGGGCTGGTCTATGAGGTCACAAAGAGTCGTAAGCAACTGAACGAATGAACAACAAAAATAATATTTTTTTACTTTTTGTATCAGAAGCAAACTGAGGGTGCGGTTGGAATGTATTTAAAAAAAACACAAAGTTTAAAAATGTCTTGATAGGCAAGCAAATTGTTTAAGGTTAGCTCTGCATCTTGTGGTGCCAGAGTGCAGTCTGTTCAGCACCTTCCAAGTTGCCCAGTCTTCTGTGTACCCAGGGGGGAGTCTCATTCGGTATCATCCATGGCTTAAGGTTGCAGGTTTTAGCCTGCAGGTTTTAGCCTGCCGGTTTTGGACTCTTGCTTCCTGAGGTGTTCCTGTGAGTATCTCTGTACATCTTAGAAATCTATTTTTTAGAACAGTATCATAATATAATAATAATATAATAATATAGTAATATAATATGGCTCATAGGGCATTCCTAGATCGGTACCCCAAATCCGTGGATGCTCAAGCCCCATTGTATCTCTACCCCGGAGTGTGGTGGAAGCTCTTTCTTTGGAAGCTTTTAAACAGAAGCTGGATGGCCATCTGTCGGGGGTGGTTCTGATGTAGTTTTCCTGCTTCTTGACAGGGGTTGGACGGGATGGCACATGAGGTCTCTTCCAACTCTATGATTCTATGAGTCTATGTATACAAGGACATTGCTTTATGCCACTGCTTTCTAAATGGAGGGCCCCCACCTCTACTCCTTAGCTCAGACATGGGCAAACTTCAGCCCTCTACCTAAGGCAGTGATTCCCAAAGTGGGCGTTACCGCCCCCTGGTGGGTGCTGTAGCAATCGGGGGGGAGGGGGCGGTAATGGCCACAGGTGCATTTGGGGGTGATGAATAACTGTAAGGGCGTGGTGAAAGCATACAAGAAAGAAGAGAAGATTTAGAAAAATCGATTTCCAGAGGGTAGGCCAAATAAGTTTGGGAACCACTAACCTAAGGGTTGCTCACTGTGGCTGGATCTACAATAATAATAATAATAATAATAATAATAATAATAATAATAATAATAATAACAACAACAACTTTATTTGTACCCCTCTACCATCTCCCCATGTAACTCAGTGCGGCTTACATGAGGCCAAGCCCAAAATACATCAAACAACATCAATAACACATCAATAAAATACAAATCATATGAATCACATAACAAAACAACTATCAATAGTGACATATAAACAGCTTTAAAATGGCTGGGACAAATGTAATAGATTAAAATTGAAAATATGCTGACTTGAACAGGTAAAAATATAACTGGATAGAATTTTTCAGAGAGAAACGAGGGAACAACAATCCATCCTAAGTCAGTGTTAAAGTGCATTATGAGGGCATATTGCTGAGAGTTCTCCTATTCTGGGAAGGCACACTGGAACAACCACGTTTTCAGGCTGCCCCATAACCCAGGATCTGATCCCAGGTTATCTGTTTACCCCGATTGTCTGGCAATATAGACTCATATAATCCAGTTCAAAGCAGATAATCTGGGATCAGATCCTGGGATAAAGGGCAGTGTAGATCCAGCCAGAGTGGTTATACAAACTCTGGTCTCCGGAGTCATCGCATGGATCTACACCAGGCATAGGCGAACTTTGGCCCTCCAGGTGTTTTGGACTCCAACTCCCACTGTTAGGAATTGTGGGAGTTGAAGTCCAAAACACCTGAAAGGCTGAAGTTTCTCCATGCCTGCTCTAGCTGCTGGTTGTAAAGAAATTTTAAATGTTATCTTTATCTTGTTTTGTTTAGATTCCCATTTTGCCTCCCTAAGTCTTAGTAGTGAAATTGTACATTTATTATGCTTGCCATCTAAGTTTAGATAATGTGTTATTATTTTTTAATGTAGATGAGGATTTGTTTTTGGGATTTGGGGGTTGGTTGTTTTTGTCCTTGTTCAACTTATCACGGCATTGAATGTTTGCCGACATCTGTTGTAAACCAACTTGAATCCCTTACGAGCTTGAGATGGAGGTGGGACCAAGAGAAGGGCCTCTTTTGAAGATCTCAGGGTCCAGGCGGGTTCGTACAAGAGGATGTGGTCGGCCAAGTACCCAGGACTTGAACAGTCTAGGGTTTTAAAGGCTCAGTGCTATGGGATCTTGGGAATTGTGCTATTACATTCTCAATTAGGTGGCCTTAAATAAATGAATTGGCATTTCAGAGGTTGCATGCTTCTTTGATGAGGTACCACTGCTCTTTGCCAGAGCACACAAAAAACCACATCAAATGGCAACTTCTATGCTCTGCATTGAGTTCAAACTGCTTACCTTCTCCAGTGTAGCCGTAAAATCAGGATTAAATTGCCTCTGAGCTCATATAGGGCCCTTCTACACAGCCATATCAAGGCAGAAGATCCCACAATATCTGCTTTGAACTGGGTTATCTGAGTCCACACTGCCATATATTCTAGTTAAAAGCAGATTTTATGTGGGATTTTATTCAGCTGTGTGGAAGAGGCTGTAGAGTGTGATTTCCCTCCAACTTTGCACTCCAACGGCTATTGAGAGCTAGGAGTTCAAAGTTCTGGTTTGTTTGAATCTGGGCATCTCTTCTTTTAAAAGGAAATCTCATATAAAACTATAATCAAGATTAGAAGTGCCTTATGCAGGGCTTACAGAGAATAGAAAAATGAAATCTGGCTACTTGGAGAAGATAAGTAGGGGTGCTTAAGCAACTTAGCACCTTATTTCCTGTTGAATTATGCAGAAATCATGTTTTTTCCTGGGAAGTGACAGTGCAGTTGCTCTGGTTGTTTGGGTTCCAGGACCCAAAATTGCAAAGTGTGGAAAATTCAGTACAGTTCAAAGTAGGATTAAAAATACATTTCGGGTGCTGGTTCAGTTCAGTACCATAACCCCATCAATTTGCTACGTTCTTCCAGAGAGTGCTGAAATATGATCCCAGTCTGAAACAAACTACTATAGTATTCAGCATTTCGTTCTTCTCCTTATTCAATTGTTTCATTTTAATAGAGGCTGTTTTATTTATGCAGTTGTTGTACCAAAGACTTTAGAGATTCAACATTTAGCCAGAAAGTTCCCAAAGAAAAGTACAAATACATAACTCAGATATCCCTGGTTTCAGGTTTCCAAACTAAATAAAACAGGAAGTACAAAGGAAAGTGGCTGAGGCCAAGGAGGAAAGTGCCAGCACTGTGAAGATGTGTCTAATTGCTCTTTTCAGTCTCTGACTATATGAACAGAAATGGGTACCATTCAAGGGTAGTTAAACTGTTCGTTGTTGCCCTGAGATAACATTTACATTTCCTGCCTCAGGTGCCTGTATGTTTCAGGTCCTTTTTGCATTTTCGAGGCGAAGCTTTCCTCTGTTTTGTTGTAGCTCTTTGGGTTGAAACTAGAAATATAAGACTTAATAGATATAAGGAAAGGTGCCAGAGTTGTGCAGAATGTTAATGATATCTCACTGTCTGAGTTTTGTTTTCACTGAAATGGCAAACTTTCTTCTGAAGTGTACTGCTGCAGAAAAACAGCTTGCAAAGTGGAAGGCTTGTCCATCCAAAAACAAAACAAATTATCACAGCTCTCTCT